GCGCTGAGAGAGAGGGAGAGCGAAGACAGAGGGAGAGGAGCGCTGAGAGAGAGGGAGAGCGAAGACAGAGGGAGAGGAGCGCTGAGAGAGAGGGACAGCGAAGACAGAGGGAGAGGGGCGCTGAGAGAGAGGGACAGCGAAGACGGAGGGAGAGGAGCGCTGAGAGAGAGGGACAGTGAAGACGGAGGGAGAGGAGCGCTGAGAGAGAGGGACAGCGAAGCGCTGAGAGAGAGGGACAGCGAAGTGGCCTGAGCCTCCTACCTCCCACACCTCGGGCTGGGTAAACAAAAAAAAAACTGTCTTGCTTTTGGGGTGACTTCCTGAGTACCCCCTAGTTTGGAGTCAGGAAGGGGGTGCTGGAGCTCCAGTCCCACACAGGGGCAAGGGCTGCAGCATCCAACCAACCTCATCCACTGGCAGGAACAGAAGAGTGGGGAGCTCTGAAGCCTGAACAATGACGCAGGTGTCCAGCAGTGTTACAGGGTTGAAGATCTCTGTGCTGTGGGGGGCTTCACACAGCGATTAGCACAGAGGTCCTCAAGCCTGTGCTCTTATGTCTTGTTTGTCCTTTTCCACTCTCCCCCCCAGCGTTTTGCTATTTTGGTCCTAGGCTGGCCTGCAGCCCTGGAAAGGTCTTGTGCACACAGCTGAGCTGCTGCAGGATTGATCTCTCACCCCTGGAGGACCAGCAGGGTCTCCATCTGTGCTAAGAAAGGTGGGGCTACAACTGAGCTCTGCGACCAGCCTGCCAGTTCACCCTCTGTAAGGGAGGTTTTACACTTGGTGAAGATGGCCAGCGATTCTGACCTCCCAGCAAATAGAAGAGCAATTCCTGGCAATTTTCCAAATCAAGACTTCCAACTGAAATCCAACATTAAATACGGGTTACAATGGGGACAGAATAAGTATTAAACAATGCCTGCCTGTCTTACCAACTGCATCACACCAGGGCAATTCTCCTTCGGCCCGTTAGAGACCGTCACCACTAACGCCAAGTGTGTATCTGTCAGCAGGCAGGAAGGGATTTTTAATTCCTGAAAATTCACATCAATTTCAGAAGCCCACACAAAACAAAATTGCCACACTAAGGCACACAGTCCACTGTGAGGCTGTCCAAAGACAAACTGGAGGTTAGGCAACTTGGCTCTAGCAACCCAGCAGAGGCAAGTCAGCGAGACCATTCATATACAGCCAGCAAGTCCAAACTGCGTGGGTAGGTCATGAAAAAAGATATTTTTTTTTATTTACACATTACAAATAAAAGGCGAAAGAAAGAATGCTGATTGATTCAACCAGCAAAGGCGCTTGTGACCAAAGAGCCTCGACAGGCCGCGTCCGTCAGAGTCATGTGACGAGCTGTGCCGTCCTGTGGCTGCGAGCGGATTTTCACAACTGGCAGAGCGCCACTGGGTTTGGGTGGAAGTGAGTCTCCCAGGGTCTCTCGACCCGAATTGAAGCAGTGCGTCACAACTGACAGGTGGGCGTGTCCGAGGGGCCTGTCTTACACAGTAAGGTCCTTTATGTTCGCTGTCAAATGCAGCGGTCAATATGGTGAAGCCAAGTCTTTAACAAGTGGACAGGCGTGTTAAAAAGCTCCCAGCAACATTGTCAACAAGAAATTAATTGAGTGAAGTAATGATCTAATGTCGATTATTAAAGGAGAGAAACTGAACACTAGTATGGAAGAAGCAATGCACTTTCTGGTTCACGTATTATAGATCTACACATTTGTCACTTTAGACAAACCATTCCCGATTTGCAGAATAAATAAACTGTGAAGGGAGAAAAGGCATGTATTTCGCCAGTACGGTCAAAAATCAATAAAATAAGCTTTGCGCTTCCGTCTCTGTTTTCTTAATAAGCAACGTCCCAGTATTGTGGGCCCAGCTGGAACAGCATGTGCTCACAGTGATCTGTGGTGTGCTGCATGCAAAGCACCTTCTCTCCCTGGAAGAGAATAGACTGTTCTTTGGCAAGAGAAAGAGTTCATTCACAGTGGTGAATAAGGAAGGGGGGGTTCGCAAGGGGTGTCAGTGTACAAACCTCATTAACCATCCCTGGCCGCTTTACGCCCCACTAAAAAAACACAGGATCAGTTTCCACTTTCTAAAGCGTTTCCTCTGGGAGCAGCGGCTCCTAATCTTGACTGCAGCTGCACCCCTTTGGTCCTCAAGCTCTGTTCTCGCACCCCTGATCACAGATCGTAATAGATCAGGTCATCAAACCTGAGATATACTGTATCATAGCTATAGAATGGAGAGGATAGAACTGTTGTATTTCTTGATTATGAAAAATAGTGCATTTTTTATGTTTACCTTAAAATACACAGGTCTGGTGAAAAGAAGTAGTTGTGCTGGGGTATCTGTGCTTAATTTGTTTTTAGAAGTTGAATCAAAAGCACATCTGGCCTGCTTTCCACCCCCAGAAGGAGCATCTGCGTGCACCCTCTGTTAAGAACCACTGTTCTCAGAGCAGGAGATGTCTTCCCCAGAGTTAAGGTAATGCTCTGCATGTTTCTTGGGCTCCTAAAAACTTGAGGATATTCGGACTTAGATGCTGAGAGGCATCAGTGCTTCCTCAAACATGCAATACAATTAAAACTCAAACATCCTGTCTTGCCTGGTGTGGAGTGATTCTTCAGGACAGCTCAACGAACACAACAGCTAACTGCATTATTTTATTCACTTCTAGAGGAACAGCCCCTCCAACTCTACAGCACTGGACTGCAACCATCTATCTGGTTAAATCCTTTGCTTTAGGCGCCCAGGCATGGTCACTGCACTGATATCATAGCTGCTAATTTTTAAGGCATTTGTCTTAAAATGTATTCATATTAACAAAGCATATTTCTGTCCCTCTCACACCTTAAAAATAAAGTGTTTCCAACTATTAATCCCGTTAACAGTATGAATGTATTAAGTTGTTTTCCTTAATCTGTGTTACTCTCCATCTAATGCTTATTAAACTTATTAACAGTGTCTTTAATGTCCAGTGGAAAAGAATCGCTGTGAATATGGAGCATTGAAATGTATTTCATTTTTCTTAGCAGAACATGCCATTCCACATGGTGCAGTTCGCTCTTCAGACTCCGACACGCTTTGAACTTATTTAAACTCACTTCCAAGATGGCGGGTTCCATAAGGGGCAGCAGGAGGGGTTCCTGGAGCCTGTGGACATGCAGAACCCTGCTCCTTATAGAACCTGCTGTTTAAACTCCTGGGTGGCCCAACAGGTGAAGGAGCTCACCCAAGCACTGGCTGTGCACTATGGCAAGGGGTTCGAGCCTGGGAGCTGTAATGGGGACTGGGAAGGGTGCCATTAGTTCAGGGCTCTGTGGACTCTCGGGGACATAGCTGTCCCCAGGAGGATAACCACCCAGGCCCCCGCAGACTTGCAGTGCTGTCAGTTAGGGACGCTCCTCCCCTCCCATCAGTGCGAACCTCCTGCACGGGGCTGTGCAGCCTGGGACATAATGGAGGGGAGGGGCTTGAAAGCGGGCGGGGTTAATCTGTCTCCATTTCCTGACTCTCTCCCGTGTGCGGTCACAGGGTTTGTAGCGATGTGCAAAGACACCGGACCAGTGACTCCAGATCAGGTACGAGAAAACAACCGTTGAGGAAACGGGGAAACGCTAAGCTGTACCTGGTGTGGGGCGCAGTGCCTGGACATAGCAGCGCAGGGTGATGTCAGCCGAGCCTCCAGACTCCAGTGGGATGGGGTGGGTGTGGAAGTGGCGCAGCATGTCGCAGACGGTCTGGAACCACAGGTGGTGGACGTGACATTGCCCGTTGTCATTCACCGACAGCCGCAGATGCTAAACACAGGGAAACGCCGAGGGGGAGAGGTTACAAACACACCAGGAGACGTGACGATTCCACACTGTTTTTTAAGGGATCTCAACAAGTATCACACAGACTGGAATACAAATCCCTGCTGTAGTAATAGGAATCCTCCCAGGAATGGCATAGCTCATTAATGGCTGTATGATGCAGAAGCCAGGTTACTGGATGTGACGGTGGTTTGTGTGCTCAAGGCTGGAGTATCTCTCTGGCAGTGCTGCGCAGGTTCATTAGAAGGGTCTTGAACTTGCAATGTAGGGATGTATTTGTCTGCCGTTTACAAGCTCCTGGGGAGACACCTGCACACAGCGAGTCTCTGAAACAGTTTTGTCAGTGCCCAGCTCGAAGGCTGCCGCCCACCTTGGCCTTGCCCTGGAAGTTGAACGTCAGGACGTACTCGCCCGGGCGCGTCTCGCTCTGCCGGATGACAAAGAGCCCGTGACTGCGCGCCCCTCCAGACAGGACAAGCTGCGCTGCCCGCACCCTGGACAACGTCCCATGGAACCATGGGTAACCAGCCAGGCTGGCTTCGCCCTCTGCGTCCCCGGACTCACCGACAGGACACCCTATTGAACAAGTCACAAACAGAGCTAAGCAACACAGGACGAAAATACAGAAGACTGTCTGCAAATACTGCTGTTGTGGAGTCTCGCTTCCCTGGTGGCAGGAAACCGAGATTCCCTCACACAAGCCTTAAAGCATGTAAGCCAAATAATGCTCGTCACTAGCTGACTGTGACCGACACTCAGGTCAGGATGGGATTAGTGGGCCAGGGCTCTCCCAGGGCAAACCTGGTGCCCTGCAGCCTCCCGGGCGTTTGTAGAATTGTCGTGTTGTCAGTGAGGACAACCTCCACCAATCACCTCTGAGCTTCTGGTACAGGGTGGTGCTGCCTGTGATGCGGTAAAGCTAAGTGGGCGGGTCAGAGGAGTCCGGCACACTTCCTCTTCCTGCCTTGTGTGCGGCCCATGAGCCTCGAACGACACAGAGCCTCGTGGGCCACACAGAGCAGGCGATTCCAAACCCCTATGAGTGTAACAAAAACAACTGGCAATGCTACAGCTGTACAAAATGTCCTCTGGCCAGTTTCTGCAGTGAAAGTTTACCAATTTAAAGTCATGATCATTTACTCTCCCTTCCCTGTTCTGTGGTTTTATGAAACTTGACAGTCTTCTGCACTGTTCTAGATTTAGATGAGATGGTTAACTGAGGTGAATGTAGGGACGTTATCACACAGCCCTTTCCAGGCATTTACTGTGGAGGTCTAAGTATTTCCACAGTCAAGTGCAGTAGCTTACAGTACAGCTGAAATGAAGTAAATAGAGGTAAGAGGAAAAGCTGTCAAGTGGAGTTACTGCACTCTCTCTTCTCCGAGGGGAGGGACGCGCTGCTACCTGTCGTGGCCCCAGGGGTCTCCAGAGACTGCAGGAAGGGCTCCAGGGGGGCGTGCATGGGGTGTTCTGCGAAGAGCGATTCTCGGCAGCGGACAGAGGGGGCGCCATGGTGCTCGTGGGCCATGACACAGGACCGGTCTGGTGCCCGGTGCACACCTGAGCGAGGACATTATCACCAGGTGAAAACACAGCTCCTCTCATCCCATACTAAAAGGTGAACCTAGGGTGGGTGCTTGTTCTGTGACCCCCAAGTCTGAGCCCCCTAGACCCTTCAGCAATTTATCTTTAAACCTTAAGCAAAAGAATGCACATTAGTGATTCTAAAAAAGATAAGGATCAATGCTTTATACACCTTGTTACAATTTCCCAGCCAAAAAATATTGGAAAGCAATTGGCAATAATCAGCTAATTCTGTTAGTAAGGATTAGATGATCATTAAAAAACAATGTTTCAAACTGATATACATAAATGTCTTAAACAGGTATTAACATAGCCCTGAAAAAGGAGACTTGAAAAGTACACCTTTGTTGTACAACCCAGTGTTATGAAACATGAAGAGGTGCAACACATCTGGCCACCAGGAAGTATGATGAGGAGGCCACCACGCCAGGGCAGCAAGAAACTTCAGGAGGGGCACCACATCTGGCCACCCACACACTCAGCCTTTAAACTGCAGACTGACTGTGGCTAGTACTGCACGGCTTTGTGAACTGCAGATGGTTACACAATTTGTGCCACTTATTTACATTATCATGGTGTAAAATTATTGCTTAAAAATGTGCAAAGGGAGCGGAAGGCGGGCTGGCTCTGAGCAGAAGGGTGCTGTGTGCTGGAGGACCTCACCTTCCGACAGAAGCTCGCAGCTGCAGGACGCCACCATGGGGAAGTCTTTACCGGCAGGGCCATGGAGGCAGGAGGCCAGTTCGATGTCATCACCGCTGTCCCTGTCACACACACACGGAAGCCTGTGACTGGAAGGTTGCCGGTTCAAATCCCGCGGCCGGCAAAGGAATCCTACTCCGTTGGGCCCCTGAGCAAGGCCCTTAACCCCAGCTGCTCCAGGGGCGCCGTACAATGGCAGACCCTGCGCTCTGACCCCAAGCTTCTCTCCCTGTCTGTGTGTCTGTGTCTCCTTGGAGAAAAGCTGGAGTATGCGAAAAGACGAATTCCTAATGCAAGAAATTGTATAGGGCTAATAAAGAAACATTATTATAACATTATAAGAATTACACGCCCACCTCTGGGACGAGACGCATGCACCCACACAGACTAAGCTAGTCGGTCTCCCCAAATGAACACTTGGCAGACAAAACGGCCTGTTTTAACATGCCTGGGGACGGATTCGTGCGGCCCACCACCCCACCAGCAGGAGGCAGTGCTGTCTCACCCGGGGTCTATGCAGTCCTGAATATCGGCCACCCAGGAGTGCTTCTGCAGGGAGTCGATCGTCTCCAGGATGTATTCTGCACCATTCTCCACCTGCAACAGCAAGGAGCTGCCCTCAGCCTGGGCCAGAACCGCCCATGCCAGCTGTTCAACACATGCTTGCCAAGACTGTCTCGGCGCCCCGCGCCCACCTGCTCACCTCACACAGCGATGACGGCATGGACTGTCCTGGATTGACCCGGATGTACCACGCTTGGCATATATGATACTTTTACCATAAACACTTCATTTCCCTCATTTTCAAATAAATAAAGAGTAGGTCAGTGTCCTTATATTCAAATGAAAACTTCAATTTGCTGTGTCACAGTGTCCCTTTAGCTGGATCTATGATGTCAAGTCAGGAATAATACAACAGAGCAGGACACAAATAGTCACGCTGTCCACCGCATTCACATCTCTGACGCAGATGTTACTGGGGTGCAGGTATCTAACAATAGAACATGATACTGTCAGAGTTCCAGCCAAGCTGGTCGTTCAGGGAGTTCACAGAAATATTCATCAGCTCAGGATGCCAGCAAACACCTTTATGTGTAGGAAAATGGGAATCTAGCCAGCTGCGACACTGAACATGAAGAAAAGCTTTATTTTGCGTTAAGGTGTGAGGACTTGGGGGCACAGTGATGTTGCAGTGAGTGCTGATGCGTAACAGTTCGGGCGTCCCGGGTCTGAGATGGGGTCCTTCTGTAAGGAGCTTGCATGTCCTCCCTGCACTCGTTTTGCTCCAGGTCCCGTGGTTTCCCTCCGCCTCCCTGAGCCCTACGGCCATGGGCTCGCGGCGCTGTAGTTCTTGTGTGTGCGCACTGTGAGGGACTGGTGTCCCACAGAACAGGACCCAGTCACTGGCTAGGCTCTCCCATCATGGGTGGGAAAGAAAGAAAACGCTCTGATGGTCGTTAAGCACGATCACAAATCCGTCTCCTCAACTGAGCCTGTGACTCTGTTTCGGTCTCCATCCCTGTGTGTAATTCCAGTCACATGTACTGAACTGGATACAACACAAAGAGAATGGAGATGGTGACTCATGCCTTACAGCTTTCGCTGTTCTTAACACAGACCTCTCAGCCTGCTGCAACCGTGTCTGCTTCGGGATCCAGTTCCTTAAGCAGCCCGGTCGGCTAGCAGATCGTTAAGGAAGACAAGTGGGATACTGTCGATTGGACGGCCAGATGGTGGAGAAAATTCAAAACGCTAGAACAGCATAAACCACTCAAACTGTTTCAAAATCTGTCACTTCTTGAGCTAAATACACAAAAATGTTGATAACTGACAAGTGTTCTTTCTTGCAATCTCAGCTTGAATAAACCTGATTTCACAAACTGATTTGTACAAACTGAAAGTGTCTCTGTGGGCACCACCTTCAGCACCGGCAAGACAGCTGTTTCCTGGCCTGCTCTCGCAATCGTATCGAAAGGCTGCCAATTGGATTCTATTTTTTTGTGATATTTCAATCTGGTGTCCTTCTAAAAAGTCCCTGTGTGACTTCTTCTAGCTGGTTTAAGCTGCAGTTCATTCATGTGGGTTTTCATGTCATCCCTAAAATTGGATGTATAACAACTTGCAGTGATTTGATTTCACATTAACAACCAATAAGGATTACAGAAGCAGTCTGGCTTCAGATCTGCACACAACTGTATTTTAGGGAATTGGAAGGAAGTGTGAAGAGCACAAGACATCTTGAACAGAAGAGACTGGAAGACCCTACCTTGAGTACGAAGGTGTTGTCCTTGTCAGGCATTTCCAGAGGCATGGTGGTCCTGACTTCCACAATGGCTGACAGAGGAATGCTCACTTTAGGCTTGGAAGACTAGGGAGGCAAGGAAAGACACAGGAGAGAAGTAAAACATCCAGGAATTATAAACCACTGGCAGCTTCTTTTCCCGTGACACTGCAATAGTTGATCATTGTCCTGGAGTTCCATGGCAATCATTGAGTTTTATTGCAAATTAAGTTCTTATTTATTAACTGTTTAAGATTTCCATTGTTTAGCTTCTGCAGGATTTAAAAGTTGCTGTACAGCAGGAATGGTCTCAAATGACCTGAGATGCTATGCTCAGTTCTTCAAACTGATTCTAAGGGAGGTGGACTGGGGAAGGATTTAGAGGTTGTACAATATGGTGAGGACCACTACCACAAATTGCTGCAGCTGTGAGTTGGTGCAGTACTTAATGTAAAAAAAAGAAAATACTGTTAGCGAGACATAAATTACTACTAACATTTTTAAACATAGTCCCCTTTCTCCACCATGTGCACTGGCAATAGAAGTCTGACAATTTTTCTGACATTTCAAGTTATTTTTAGTCTGCTCCACATAGTGGTGTCCATTTCTAAATCGAATATTACCACCCCACAAAACAGCTCTTATCAACATGATCACCATCGAAAAACAGGAGTTATAAAAATCTGGACATCACAAGTCCAAAGCTGCATCAGCTGCAATGTCTGAAAGCCGCCTGACTGAGGGACATCACAGTGACAGATGTGTTCACTCTGAGATCACGTGATCCACGATTACTGCACACGGTCAGAGATCACTCGACTCACCATGTGGATCAGCACAGCCAAGGGTCTGAACACTTGAGTGTACAATAATGCAGATATGCTAAACACTGCATAGACTGCTGCTTCAAAGGGTCTTGACTGCAAACCTTTAAGCACCAAGCAGTGAAAACTGTGCAGGGGTCTGAATGCAGCTGCAAGGCGCTGTTTACCTGGCCGTCCCCCAGCCTCGCCAGTGCCCCCGCTGCACCATGACAACCTCGCCCACTGTAGGAGCTGTGCAGGGACAGGAGGGACAGCCCACTGCAGGGACAGGAGGGACAGGAGCTCTGTCTGACGGGAGCGCCGGGGACGCCGGAGGAGAGCGCACACCCACCTTGGGCGGCACGTAGAACTCCAGCAGGAAGCGCTCCCCCTCCGTGCGGGCGGACTTGCGCAGCAGCAGCCGGCACTTCTGCCACTGGGAGGCGCCCACGCAGCTGGTGTCGTCCGCCACCATGTAGCGCAGGGCCCCCTCCCTCTGGATCTCCAGCAGCTCGGCCCGGGGGCCCTGCGAGGGGCGCGAGAAGCGCAGGCGCTGGCCCCGCTTGTCGCCCGCCTCTCCGCTGGCTCGGCGGCCGGGCTGGGGCTCCGGGGAGGCGCGCCGGTGCCAGATCTCCTTCACGCCGTCCACCACGCACAGGCTCATGTTGCGCAGCGAGAAGCCCTTCTTGAACCTGGCCTTGGGGTGGCCGGCCGACACGTCCTCGGAGCTGCGGGACTGGCCCAGGGGCGCCCTGGAGGCCTGGGGTGGGGGGTTCCCCGGCCCGCTGTCCATGCTGTCCAGGGACTCGCTGGAGGCCCCCGCCTCTTCTTTGCGGCGCAGGTAGAGGTCGCGGCCGTAGGGCAGCGGGCAGCTCTGCAGGCCCACGAAGGGCACGATGCTGTACTTGGCCGTGCCCGGGGAGCCGGGGGTGTGGGCCCGGCTCAGCTCGGCCGCGAAGCAGTCCAGGAAGTGCCGGGCGAAGTGCTGGGAGAAGGTGGCGTCGGCGCCCGGGGAGTCGTAGCTGGGGTTCTCTCGGACGAAGCGGCGGAACTTGTCGGCGAAGTCCGAGGCCGAGGCGCGGGCGTGCAGCTCGCAGAACTCCTTCCAGTCGGGCAGCGGGCAGGGCGGCTCGGGGCTGGGGGGGGCGTCCCCATTCATGGCTGCTCCATTCCACCGCTGGGGGGGGTGGCTGGGGCACGGGCAAGGAGAGAGGATGACAGGGCAAGGGGTAAAGAGATGAGATCATTACTGATCAGTTCATGCAGAAAAATGCTGTGATCAGCAAAGATGCCTGCAAACCCGCTGTCACATGCTTCTCTAGAGGGAAAATGAATGAATTAGAATGTGTACTGTAACGAGCAGGACCAGGCTGAGAGGAGAGGGGCGATCTGGGGCACTTGATGACGCAACACATGACATGATGGCAGGTGGACTTCTGTTTGGTCACAGAAGACACTATGAGAGTGATCTAAAAACAAGAGCAGCATTATTCTCCAATCCCAGTTTCCTCTTCTGCAAATCTAAGAAGCCCGTTGTGTCGCTTGTTTGTGGAGATAGCAGAACTGAAGCCCATCGCCCAGAGATTGTGACAGAGCCACGTGCAAATGCACACAGCAGCGCGTGCAAGAAAAGCTGAATGCAAACAAGCTCTTTTCTGAGAGCGAGAGACTAATACTGTTTCTACAGAGCTGGTTTTGTGTCATCTTATCTCCTGACACGCTTCTCCCTCGGCAAACCTCCGCGATGTCAAGCGATAGTGTCATTGAGTGAAACACTGAACTCCTTGTGGTTTTTGGCCGAGAAGAGACAATTGGCTCCATTATCCTGGATTGAATCCGTTGGCAGCCCTCCATTAACACTGAAACTACCCAACCTACATTTTTACCTGCAACTAAAGCAGAGAGAAATTTGACCATCACATTTAAAGCTGAACAAGGAACGCCAATCTTAACAGCAAGGCCTGCCAGTATCTTGTCCCATCATAGTCCAATCCATTGTTTTACACAGGACCTACAGTGCTGTGATCAAGTCTGCCGTCTATATTAGACAAATATTAGACTTCTTCGGTTCTATGGGAACTGAGTTGGAAGCATCTGGTTCTGATCTTTTTAATTTACTCTGCGGCAACTAAGCCACATCTAACGATGAATGAGAAGCGCCTTCTGTGGTATTGTAGACGATACCTACCTGCTACCTTATCCACAGACGAGCACTGAGAAACATCCACACACAGCGCTGCATGTGATGGGCCTGGGTGAGCCAGCACAATGGTGTCAGCACCCTCCCCGGAGCTGGGAGGGGCTCAAGGGAAGTCCTGTCACATTCACTGCGGATTCAGCAATGGCTCACCTCCATGTCAACAGCCAGGGTATCTAACAGAATCCGACTGCAAACGCCTCCGATTGGAAACCTGCCCCAGAGCAGCTCCTGCTCCGGCCAAAGGCTGCGCACAGACTGCCAAAGGAGAGGCTTTTCAAACCCCCCCAGTTCTGAGGACGAACACAGTTGCATTTTCCAACCGCTTGATCCAGTTCAGGGCCCACACCAGCAAGCAACAGGCACAGGGCAGGATACGGCCTGGACTGGATGCCAATCCATCGCAGGGCATACTTTGATATAAACACAACAGGACTAATCTACCAGTACAGAATGTCTTTGAACTGTGGGAGGAAACCAGAGCACCCAGAGGAAACCCACATGAACAGGGGTAGAAACACAAACAGATAGCACCCCAGGTCTGGAGTTGAACCCAGGCACCACCTGGGTGCAATGTTAACTACTGCACCATTGTGCTGTTCTTGGTTTAATATCTATATTAATATTCTTTCAGTTTCCATTTTTATTTTAGCTTTGCAAGTACCTGAGCAAGTGAAATCCACACTTTTCTTTGAATACTCTATGTCTACAGGGTTTATAATCACTGGGGTTGTAGAATAAAAACTCTATATGAAGAGGAGAGCTCTTCTTTTCTGTAGACTTTTAGACAAGTGCAAATTATTACATGCAGGTAGCAAAAATCTAAACCACAGATACAATTGCAAACACTGAAGTTGAAGAAGCTACTTACAGTATGAGAATAAAAATACAATAATTCCTCAAGGTTTTGCAAATCCACTCCAAGAGACCATCAGAGAGTCTAAGTTCTCTGGGGTCTTCTAAAATGTGTTTTTGTGGTACGAGAGAATCAAACCAGCACACTCTCATTCAGATAAAAGCTCTGATACAGTACAGTATATCCCCCAACTGTTTTTTAATTGCAGCATTTTACCTTCTTAGTTATTTCTTTTGTGTTGTGCTGTAATGCTAAATGCTGCTATGAAAAGAATCTGTATGAAGTAAGATTATTCCAATTAGAATGTGTTATTATTGTCATCACTCAGTGAAAAGGGATTACTCCAAACACGCAAAGAGATACATCACGATCCAAGGAATCTCACCAGCGTCTAATCTGACACACAATTATATGGATCCTCAGAGAGAGGCTTTCTGAAAAAGACAGCGACGAGCGAAGAGAAAGAGACAGATGTGCATAGCTTGAGAGCTTTCCAATAAATATTAAAGCGATCCAATTCATCTCCTGAGCTGGGAGGAGGCCAAATCAGACGATTGCTCATTTACGGCCAGTTAACATCGACAATGAAACAGTTTTTTTGCCAAGCAAAAGGAAGCAGGGAAGCAGCTGGAATCTGAAGACAGCTCCACACATGAAAGGCTAGTGAGCCAGACAAAAAAGGAGCAAACTCTTCGAGGGTGTCAGAGTGTGCGCACGCGCACCGCTGAGCCCAGGCCAAAATCATCTCTCGCCACACCACTCCTCGCTATTCTTCCATGCAAATTCTTTTCGTCATTTTCTAAAACAACAAAGCTTGTTACCCTGTCATTAAGGCTACGTGCAAGTCTGTTCTCCAGAAGTACAAACAATTCCTTCCAAGGTTGTCCAGTTCAGTTTTGTTTCCCCAGTGATCTGTTGTGTACCCATTCATAACACAGACCGGAATCTGCTCTGATATCAGTGCTCTTGTGATTGCAGGTCCCTGGTTATCTCTTGCTTTCTGTTTCTCTCTCATTTCACACTCTTCCTATCACAACCTGACATCTCTGACATCACCCTGCCAGTTTCTCTCAGTGTGTCTCCCAGAAAGATAAGAGATGACATTCCGCCCATAACACACATGATAGCGCCCTAAATAAACACACAACGTCAGAACAAAACATCACCAACAAACATCATTAACCTTTCACTTGTAAAGCTGAAACATCAGATTTGTGAACATTTAGATCAACAGGCACTTTGAAATGATTTTTTGACACACCTCACATTGGAACATTACAAAGTACTATTTCAATTATGTGTTGACCTAGGGCCAGGCATGCAGGTCCATGCCCTGGGGCATCATGGGGTTTCACCACAGGGGTGACATCGAAGGAACAAGGCATCATGGGATTTCACCATGGGGGTGACATCGAAGGAACAGAAGAATGATTGGAGGATAAAGCTGAGCATCAGGGGTGCCATGACAATCCCAGGTCTCTTTACCCACTGGCAAAACGAAAAGCTAATTACTTTTCCAATCAGAAGCACTGATCAGAAGGCATATGCTTGGAAAAAGGATACCTATAATAACAGAAGACGAGGATACTGACCCCTGGGAGCCTAAAACATGCCAGCGCCTACAAAAGGGAGACAAAAGCACATCCTCGACTGGGACGTTCTCCTGCTGAGAAGAGAACAGGCAGGGGGACTGCAGCAGGACCTGAGGAGTATGATCATCTGTCCGGGGGTGCACTCCCAGCTCCCCGCCCCTCTCATCAATCACCGGCCTGCAGGGGTGCAGAGCAGCGTGTGTGCGAGAGAGCTGCAGCCAGAGGCCAGCGATCGGGTCTCGTTCCTTCACTCCCTCTGTGCCTCCTCACGCATCCTTTTCATCCCGGGCATGCTGGGACAGCTCCCTCCACTACACAAACGGCTCTTTCATCCATCTTACCGGCACTGCAGGGGAGCGACGGGCGCAAGGCAGGATACACCCTGGACGGGACGCCAGTCCATCGTGGTGCAGACGAACACACACACACACACACACACACTCACTCACCAGGGACAATTTTCTCAGAAGCCAATTAGCCTACCATCATGTCTTCGCACTGTGGGAGGAAATAGGAGCGCCTGGAGGAAACCTATGTGAGCACAGGGAGAACATGCAGACTCCACACAGACAGCAGTCTAGGGACTGAACTCCAGTGCAGCAATGCTGGCCACAGCTCCACTGTGCCACCCCCTCCACAAACCAGTACTGTACTAAAAGTTGTAAAACTAAGAGGAGTTATTTTTATCTTCTTTTCCTAGACAGGTCTTGACAGTTCCACAAAGGAAAGGCCAAATGAGTCAAAAAAGGAAGAGAGGTAAATCACACAAAACAAAACCACAAGAATAGAAGTACAACAGTGCCATCAGCCTTTTTTTTACAAAGTGCTATTTCTGATCAGCAGAAAACGTCATTGTGTGAGTGTGAAGACACTGGTTTAAGTGCTGCAAGAGTGTTTTTTAGGAAGTGCACTTGATAATGAGACATACACTGATTCCAGTCTGACAGACTGATGGCTTGCACAACACCACTCCAGTTTAGTTCAAATTGACAGTATTGCTCTTGCTCAACAACAGCCAGAGTGCAAGACAAAGTGTTCTCAGATGCTAAAATGTGGTTACAATGTTCATATGGAGATTCTCAAAATATGTTTAATATTTATTAGTAGTAAGCCTTTTTAATGAAAATCAGTACTGTAAACTTAATACAAAGTTTTCCTAGAATTCAAGATATTACACATGCAAACAAGTAAATTTGATCACTGTTATGATAATACATCTTACCGTGTATTAGTTTGTTTTAATTCTTAGCAGAGCAAAGTTTCTTCGCTTTACATCTTGTTTTTATTACTATTGTAAATGCAGCACTACTGTCCTGTAATAAAGTTAATTACAGCACAGTAATAACAGAGATTACAGTAAATGAAGTGTACAGCACTGCACTTACTGTAAAAGTGGAGCCTGGACATTGAAATACTGTAGGTTTATTGAGGTGTTCCCTGAGGAGGGGTGAGGATGGAGAGACAGCAGTATCCCGACTCCCTTTACGCCCAGCCACCTCACTCTCCTGCTCCTGCAGTTTGTCAGGCAAATAGACCGCTGAAATG